AATATATTAAGAAGAACAAAAATCTGGTTGTCACCCCATTCATCATTGGGCGAATAAGACATAAAACTAAGTTGATGTAGAAGTGTATCCTAGATTATTGATTGTTACCTGTTGTACTTAACTGATGCTCCAGAAAGACTGATTTAGAGTTGGAACATCTTCCTTAAGTACTGACTTTGCAATTTACTTGCTAGACCATCTTGAGTTATGTCATTTAATCACTGAATATTTTACCTCACCAAGTTTTTAAGTGTCAAATTACATAATTGCTTTATTGCTTTATGGAGAGCTAAATTATTACAATACTTTCATACATAGCCTCTGCCAAGAGTATTATGTATATCATAAGACTCTTTGTTTTTTTTTTTTAAATATTTATCTTTTTTTTTTTTAGTTATCGGTGGACACCACATCTTTGTTTGTATGTGGTGCTGAGGATCGAACCTGGGCCGCAAGCATGCCAGGCGAGCGCGCTACCGCTTGAGCCACATCCCCAGCCCCTATCATAAGACTCTTTTGTTGTCTTAGAGTAACTTTGACTTTAGTGTTTACATTTTTAGATTAAACTTAACTTCCAACTTTCTGCCAAGTGTTAATACAATTTAACTATTTTTAGACATTTCTTAAAAAGTACACACAGTCATTCATTGGTATTTGTGGGATTGAGTCTAGGACCTCCAAGTTACCAAAATCCTTATCTAAAATAGCAGAGTAAGCTGTGCACAATGCTGGTTCTAGTGGCCCATGCCTATAATCTCAGTGGCTCAGGAGGCTGAGGCAGAGGATCACAAGTTCAAAACCAGCCTCACCAATAATGAGGCGCTAAGCTACTCATTGAGACCCTGTGTCTAAATAAAATAAAAAATAGGGCTGGGGATGTGGCTCAGTGATTGAGTGCCCCTGAGTTCAATCCCTGATAGCCCCTCACAATACTGAAATGGCAGTATATTTGCATATAACCTATGTATATTCTACTCTCTACTTTAAATCATTTCTTGGTGATTTAGAATATCTAATACAATGCAAATGCTATATGAATACTCATATTGATAAGAAAAAGAAAACACAATTGTTTTTCTTCTGAATATTTTCCTTTGTGGTTGGTTGACTTCATAGATAAAGAACCCCTGGTGTATAAGTATCCGGGTTTGATCCCCAGCACCACAAACAGAACCCATGGATACAGAGGGCCAACCAACCGTCTTAATTTTGGGGTGGGCATCTTCATCCATAAGAGTCTAATATAGTATACTGTTGCTACTTAATTACAAATATGACTAATTCTGCTTCTGAAATATAATTGTCACTGTGTTTATAGGAATAGGAATGGATAAGTATTAAGACTTTTGGTCAGAGAATTTGCCTTTAATTTATATTATAATATAGAAGTGATACAGAAGACCAAAGTATTTGGTTTACAATATGGTAGATTTCAGAGTTTTGCTGATTTGTTTTTGTAAAGCAGCAAATTAACAAAAGTAGTTTTAGTTTAAGAGTGAAAGAGAGAAAATAATTTTGAAGATATTAGGGCATCTTTATCTCCCTTTAAACTAAAATGTGATTTGTAGAGACCAAGAAAGACGGAATTTATTGTTATGTGTGCATATGTACATGCATTTATTATGAATTAGAGATGTGGATTATGCACCTAACAGTGTCTGACATGTAGTAGCCACTCAATTGTTGGAATGACACAATGACACAATGGTTGTACAAACACAAGAGGGAAGTAGTTTTGTTTTTTGGTGGTACTGGGGGAAGTGATCCTTTTGATACCTTTGCAATGCAGCAAATTCACAAGTTGTGTTCAGGGAGAACTCATTTATATTGAAGTAAAGGTAACAGCATATTTATACTTTTTTGAAGCTACTTAGTTTTGGGTACACTCTTAACTGTGAATCTGAGCAAATTTGTTTTAGACTATAGACAGTGAATTAATGAATGTTTAAGTATTCAAATATGTTGTTCTCAGTGCTTGCTTAGTTGTTTAGAAGAAAAGTGACAATCCTTTACTGACCCACATGAAACGATAGCAAACGATACAAACTGGTATGGTTTTTAAGAATTGTGTTTAAAAATACTTTATGATAAAGTTTACTATGGGCATTTTGGGTGTGGGGGAGGGTGCTGGGTATTGAATTCAGGGCCTTGAACATGTTAGACAAGTGCTCTACTACTAATTTATGTCCCCAGCCCTGAATTTACTATCAACCATTTTTAAGTCTGTAGTTCAGTAGTGTTAAGTATATTCACATTGTTGTACATATGTTGTTGCTCAATATATACTTATATTTTTGTGAATATATCCAAATGTATATTTGTTTGTTTTTGAGATGGAATCTTGCTTTGTTGCCCAGTCTGGTCTAGAATTCCTGGGCTGATACAGTCAGCTCCTGTCTCAGCTTTCCAAGAAGCTGGGACTATAGGTGTGTACCACTGTGCCTGGCTTTCAGTTTTTATTTAAATTAGAATTTAAATATTGAGGATGTACTATGGGCTGGGGATTTAGCTTGGTGGTAGATCATTTGCCTAGCATGTGTAAGACCCTAGGTTTAATGCCAACACTGAAAACAAACAAAAAAGGAAGATAAAAAAAGAAAAAAAAATTGAGAAGGTAAGAGGACAAATACTTCTGATAAGTGGTATTCAGATGATTTTTATTTGAAGGAACATTCTATCTTATTTAAAACTAACCATTTGCAAATTTACACTATTAGAATTTGGAGAGGGGAGAGTGTGATTATTGAAGACCAGGGTAATAAGGGAAGATTTCACAGAAGAGAATGATTTAAACTGGACCTTAGAGAATGAATAGGAATCAGATAGGTTTTGAGCAGGGAAAAGTTAACAGCATCCTACTTGAGGGAAACAGCTCTGAGGTGAGAATGAATGTTACTAGGATCTAGCTTCATGAGAAGACCTGTGTTAGGATTTATTATTTATTTTGAGAGTGAATGGAATGAGAGGCATTGTGTCATGTAGTGTTTCCCCAAATGCATTCTGTCTAACATGAGGAGGGAAGGATTGTAAATTCGTGTTTTCTTTCAATAAGAACTTATGACATTTTGATGTTGCTATGCATTCAGAATCTTCTAGAAATTATATAACTAACATTTTAACTTTATTTGACCATTAGAAACTTTCACCTTTTTCTTGGGCACTGATTTGAGAAGTATGTGTGCGACTTGTAAGTTGCATGATATGATCAAAAATGTTTAATCCAGCCAAATTCCCTCCATCCATGATGATTAGGTTATAACCACTTAATTGCTATGTAAAATTATTCAACAAATGTTGAGGATGTACTATAATGTATTGGACATTGAAAATTATAAATGCAAGGGAAAGATTTTAGAACCATAGATTATTCTAATTGTTGTCTATGGACATTGTCATCTCCTATTTGTTAGAAATGCAGAATGTGTGTGCTGAATATGTAGCTCAGTTGTAGGGTGCTCGCCTAACATGTGAGGCCCTAGATTCTTATTCCAATAGTGAAGAAAAGAAAAAGTACATAATCTTGGTATTCATCCTAGACCTACTGAATTAAAAATTGCATGTTATTAAGAACTGCATGTGATTCCTATATACATTAAGATTTGTTGGGCTGGAGATGTGGCTCAAGCGGTAGCGCGCGCCTGGCATGCGTGCGGCCCGGGTTTGATCCTCAGCACCACATGCAAACAAAGATGTTGTGTCTGCTGATAACTAAAAAAATAAATAAATAAATAGTAAAAAAAAAAGATTTGTCACATGGTTCTGCATCATAGCCAATAAAACTTTATTGTTTACTGTTTTACTGATAGTAGTAGAGAATTTAATAGTTTTCATTTTCTTTTTTCCTTTTTTGCTTGCTTATCATGGGGTAGGGGAGAGTGGGAGGGTGTGTTTCACTGTGTTGCCTAAGGTGGCCTTGAATTACTGGGCTCAAAAAAATGATCTTTCACCTCGATCTCCTGAGTTGCTGAGACTATAGGCACAAAGCAGGACTGTACCTTCAATTTCAATTATGAGATTGACCCTCTTGAAACTTCTGTGCTTTGGTCTTAGTCTTAAAGAGTTGTACTGAATGTGCTTAATGGCTCAATTGGGAACTGTGTTATATACACAGTTATGTTTGTCTAAGTCTCACAAAATGTCTCCTGGAACTGATTATATTACCCAGAGAGGCCAATTTGAAAGGAAGATATTTTAAGTTATTTTTTCCTTATAAAGACAGGCCATTTCATTCATTGTCTCTGCTGCCATTGTTTTTGTATTCCTCTCTCCAGGCATTTTCTCATGTTGCACTATTGCTAAGCTCAGTATGGTCTTAGTATTTCCATGGAGCCATTCTCATAGTCCTGTCCATATACCTAGTCATTTGATTAGACATTTTGATTACAGACATAGATTCTGATAATGTTCACCTCCTGTCTTGCCTCCTTTTAAAATTCTTGTTTTAAAAAAAGCATTTAAGGGCTGGGGATGTGGCTCAAGCGGTAGCGCGCTCGCCTGGCATGCGTGTGGCCCGGGTTCGATCGTCAGCACCGCGTACAAACAGAGATGCTGTGTCTGCCGAAAACTAAAGAATAAATATTAAAAAAAAAAAAAAAAAAGCGTTTAAAGCAAGTTTTTCAGAAAGTACTGTCTTTTGGTTATGGTAATTTGTAATAGCTAAAAAAGTCAGATTATTAGAATTTACTACTAGGGTCTCCATTAAAAAGTTAAATACTTTAAATTACATAATATAAATGCTCAGTGTAAAAATTAATACAGCAATATATTAAAAAGTGAAAAATACGTTTTTCTACCTAGTTCTATTTCTCCAGGGTTAACCACTGTTTATGTCCTAAACCTTTTTTAAAAATGTAAAAACAGGTATATATTATATGTAAAATTTGTATATATTCAGGGGAATTATATATAGTCTGTTCTGAGAACTGATTTTTTTACTCAAAAAGGGAAAAAAAGCCAAAGTCTTAACCTTTTTAATATGAATGATGTGTTTTTGACTTTAGGGAAGAAACCCTTTTTTCTTGGAGCCAGCAATAATTATTACAATTACTGATGGGAGCAAGTTGACTACTACCAGTGGAGTCCAGGATGAGGTAAGTTACATTTGTATCACTGAATTATGCAAATATAGTTGAAAAAATTTTGAATATGCACTGTAGGGTCTTGAACACCTTCTAATAGGTTGTCTTTTTTTTTTTTTTTTTTTGATTATTTGATGAAGTCCAGAGTCGTTTGTCTCCGAAAGTCCATATTCCTTTATTGCTTTTTAGGAGTGGTCACCATCTTTTCTTGAATAGTAATTCCTTCTGTGAAAGTTTTTGAGCATATCTCCCACCCCAATATATGTATATTTATAAATTTATGTGTGGGTTTGTGTATAGTAACTATTAGTAAAAATTAATTCTGATTTTGAGGTTTAAAAAAATGGAAATGACATTCTAATCATTACCTCCCACATTCCAGTGGATTGTTATTATAACTTCCCATCACTTTGACATAATGCCTGAGAGAAATGAACTTTTATTTTGTCTCAGTTTCAGAGGTGTGAGTCTTTAGTTGTAAGGCCCTGTTGCTTTTGGACCATGTCAAAGGAGTACATTATAGTGTGAGCATGTTGAGGAAGAAATTACCTCATAGTGTTCAGGAAGCAGAGAAAGAGAGGAAGACAGAAGTAGAGACTTGTATCCCAGCACCCCCTTCAAGGACATGCCTTCAATGACCTAATTCCTCCACCTAAGTTTCACCTTTAAAGGTTCCCCAATAGCATCATGAACTGGGAATCAAGGCTTTATCACATGGCCCTTTGGGGGAGTTTGCAGACCCAAATCCTATGCATTTCACTGTGGAGACTGCTAGACTAAAGTATAACGAAGCCAAAAGGAGATTAAAGCTAAGAAAAGTGAAGATTTTTGGCCTTTTTATTTTGAATAAGTTATATGTAAATGATATAGAGCTAACTATTCTTTAACAGCATGTATTATACAGAGTTGTGTGTGGTGTGGTATGGTGACTAGAATAGGTTTTTTTTTTTTAACTTTTAGGTGTTCATACTGTAGTATTTGAATTGTGCTTGAACATTACATTTGTTGTTTAACTTGTTGATTCAGAAACGTGATCTTAGACTAGTGTTTTTACTGTTTGCATTTGCTTTAAAATCTTAATTTGAATTCCTGTGGCATTTATTAAGGTTTAAAGTGGGAAAAGTATAGACTTTTAAGTTCAGTAGCTTTTATTGTGAAACATTGTGGAATATAAATTACATAGGGTCAGAGCATGTGGGTTTTACTCTTGGTTTATATACTCTTCTAGCAGCGATCTTTGTGTTAGTGATCTAACTTCCCTAAATCATCAGTGAAAAAAAGATAATTATTCGTGCTTTACTTAAGAGGGTTGTGGAAATCTAAAATGAAATAATGTATGTAAACGTATTTGATAGATTGTTAAGAAAAGTATTATTTTATCTTGAAACATTGCAACCAATAAAGAATTGTGACTGCCTGATCTGAATTTGGGGAAGAGACCTAGAATAGTGTTGTTTGACCAGTTGACATTAAAGGCTAGTTAGGACATAATTTATCATCATTTAGCCTGCTTGATAGCTGAATTTCTTCGGTCATTGGTCTTTCTTAGACTTGATTGACATGTATGGCTAATTAAGATCCTGCCAATAGCAGGAGTAAATAGTTCTATCCATAAACACAAAAAATAGAAATGTCATTTAAACCTCATATTTGAACATGTCAAATATGATTCATAGTAATTAATGCTTTTTTTTCTTCAAGATTGTTTTGTGTAAATTAAATGTTTTGATTTGTTGTTGTCCTTAATAATTTTGGTTGAAAAGTTATTTGTTTTGTTTAAACTTTGCAAGGTTATCCATTCAAGGTCTCTGTTGCCTTTGTTAGAAATGCCATTTGGGGTACAATTTATTTTGTTCCCATAGATCTGGATCTGTTTAGTAACATTTCTTTTTTGGGACCTCCTCTAGCTTAAAATCATCCTGAAATATACATGCACATTGGAATTTTTCTTCCGTTTTGTTTGCTTTCTTGGTAAGAATATTGGAGAAATGTGACTGTATCTTTATAGTCCCCCCAAACTACCTTGCTAATAAAGTTGGGAAGGTTTTCCTGTGGGCCAGGATTTAACTTTTAGCTCTCTCTTTTTAAAAATCTTCTACAGTATATATTACAGTATTGAGAATAGAGTTTATATTTTTAAAAATATTGATTATAGATATAATTCTGCTAGTCAAGTTCAAAATTGATTACTCTTGTTACTTTTTTTATGAGGCTAAAGGTTCATTTGTTTTGAAGCAAAGGTTTATTTTGATTATGAAATTGAAATATAGGTCTAGGAGTGTGGTATTTAGGTTTAGGAATGTCTTTGATCCCTATCATGTTTTTTTTTTTTTTTTTTCTTTTCTCTGTTTTCTTCCTTTTAGCACTGGGAATTGAACCTAGAAGTGCTCTACTACTAAGCTACATCCCTAGCCCCCCCTCCTTTTTTAAAAAAATTTTGAGTCACAGTCTAGTTAAGTTTCTGAGGCTGGCTGCCTACTTGCAGTCTTCCTACCTTTAAGTTTCCAAGGCTGGCCTCTAACTTGTGATTCTCCTGCCTCGGCCTCCTGAGTAGATGGGATTACAGGTGTGTACCATTGCACCTGGCCCATGTTTTAATGTTGAAAGAAGAGGAAATGTACCACAGATGTATATATTATTAAAGGTCAATTTTTGCTAAAATATTGTGAAATATCCCAGCCTAAATAATTGATGTAATTCATTTTAAGGAGCCTTTCAATTCATGGTGCATATGTGCTAGATGTGATCTATTGTAATTTGTATTAGGGAATAACAAATCATTTTGCATTTCTTTTTCTAAATCTTATCACATTTGTCTTTGATTTTTTTTTTTAACAGAATGAGCATATATGTTGGTAATTTCCATTTTGTGGGATGTGTGTATATAATTCTTGGTTGGCTATGGATGGGACCTCTTAGCATTTATGGATTTGCATGTTCCATCCTTTGCTTCAGAGTCATATCACTTGCTGTGGTATATAATATTTGTTCTGTTAGTGCTATTTTTCAGGAGTTAGGTTATCCTGCTATTTTCATATTAGTATAGCATGAGAGGAAATACAGAGCTTATTGAGGCTTCCCTTTCATTTTACAAAGGAAGAATTTGAGATACAAGGAAGTAAAGTAATTTGCTTAAGTTATAGCATTGTTGCTAAAATTTAGATTAGAATTGAAGATATTCCAGTGCTTTTTCCCTGATATACCAACTGCCTCTTTGATCCTGTTATTGTATGTTCCTAAAAATTACTTTGTCCAGTTTCCTGTTTGTCCATTTTAGCTTTCTGTACAAATGTCATAGATACTCTGTTCTCACTCATTTGGTGTTCCATAAACGACTGTTACGACCAGGGTATTTCTCTATAGTGAGATTAATAAAGATAAACAAGATAGATTTCTGGTTCTTAAGCTCAAAACCTTATAGGGAGATCATTTGTTAAATAATTTTTATGAGTGATAAAATAGAGATATTTGAGTAAGGAAGCACTGAAGAGATGGGGAAAGGTTATAATGTTATCTATCTTGGTGCATGTGTTAGATTTTCTGTAATAAAAGTTTTATAGTGTGATTTCATTTTTTGATGAACTAATTCAGGGATCTTAGGGATGATTTCATATGGTATGTGCCTCATTGCCTAAATCTGGAATTTATAAAGAAGCCCAGTGTAATATTATTTTGAGCCTAGAGAATATTTAATGGAAAAAACTCAGTTTAACTCTTCATCTAAGTATGTGTTAGGCCAAAATGACTCAATTTCTTGCTTATCAAAAGAATAATAGGAACACCATACCCTCTGTACGAGGTTGTCATTTAACAATATGTTATAAATTTGGATAGAAGAGGAACAGCTTTCTGTTATGGATGAACATAGCTGTATGTAATTATTTTATCTTAATTCTAAGTTCTTGGACCTCACTTAAAAGAAATCAAGGCAGTTGTCTGTGGTATCATGAATTTATTTCTATTTTAGTATTTTTGGAAAATTGTGCCTAGGACTTTTGATGACTGTTTATTTTGGAATTGTATGTGTGTTATTTTTGGCCTTTAAAAAAAAAATACAGCCATTTGATAAAACGGGTGTTTTGCAACGTTTTCATTTATGAGCAGTGGGTTCGATATGGCCTTGAATTCTTAACAAGGAAGCTATTCCTTATCTCCATAGTAGGTGTTTTCAATATTGATAAACATACTTGTGGCCTCATAGTACAAGTCATTATAATATATTACTGATGTGTCATGTTTTGGTAGAATTAACCAAATTAGATTATTCAAAGAATTTTTTTCACGTTTTTATTTCCTGCAAAGATCCTTTGTAGTAATGTTTTGCAACAGAAAACTGTTCTGTACTGTGATTCCAGAAACACGTGGCTAACTATATTGCTCAATAAAGTGGCCCAGAAGAAATCCTGCCAGCACCTTGTCACTGATGAATGACATTCCAGGATAGTGTAGCAGTTATTTTTCTCTTCCTTGAAAGTGCTAGTAGTAGTATTATCTTTCAAATACTGGGATTTCTATATGCTGAAGAGTTCTGCATTTCTTCATCAATGTTATGATTGCCCTGAAAGCTAACAGAGAAGATACTTAAATTAAACTAACTATTGGCTTTATTTATAAACCAAAACCATTATGTGTTGCTTTCTTACTAGCTTTTCCAGATTTTTAAGGCCAACTAGGCCAACTACTTTTATAGTTTCTTGGATACATGTTCAATTAGGGAACATGTTTGCAGAAAAATGTCTGAGTAATCTCAACTATATATATTCACATTACTTTAGATTGAGGTTTTCATACTCCACTTGTTCTCAAAAACTCCCTAAGTTTTTGAGATGTTGATTTCTTTTTTTTAAAATATTTTTATTAGTTGTTGATGGATCTTTATTTTATTTACTTATTTATATATGGTGCTAAGAATCAAACCCAGTGCCTCACACAGGCTAGGTAAGTGCTCTACCATTGAACCACAACCCCAGCCTGAGTTGTTGATTTTTATTAGTTTTTTTCTGGATCATTCC